CACAATTTAATAACCTATCGGTATTTACTTTGTTGTCATTGTCCATGTAGCATCAAGGTTTCTAAATGTTCTATTTGTTTTAATTTCATTTGTTGAGAGAAAGGCCCTCTTCCATATAAACGGAAGGGTGATCAGTCTAAAATCTTACCTTGCTCACTTACAAAATTCCTAATGTATCGGGAATCATTTATTCCAGAAAAGAACAATTTTTTTCACGTTCTTCGCATTGTGCCTCTTTGATTACTAGGAATAGAAAGGATCTATTTCAAGGGGAAGTGAAAGACAGCTAGCAAGCGTTACCACTCACTATGTGGTGGCGTCATCATTTAATGTAACGTAACCATGTCGCTTATTGATAACATCAACAATTTCGATTCACATTTCTCAGAATTTACTCTATTAGGCCCCACCCCTACCGCCTCAGGAGGCCAAGATCTTATATGTATATCAAATTAATTGTCCTTCACCCAAGAATACTTCAGTTTATATCTGGGCAATGTTAATTATTCCAACAAAAGAAGAAGGATTCTTAATAAAGATTTTATTATATTTTCCTCACTGGGATCCGCCCCTACTGCCTCAGGAGTCAGAAGCCTCACATCGATATAAAATTGATTCACCTTTACCCAAGGATACTTTCGACTATATTTGGGCGGCAATATTCATCATTCCTCCGGGACGAGTAGGATCTTTAAAATCAACGAAAATTCTTTGGGGCGCCACACCTCAGACCACTTGCGGCCAAAAACTAATATTTGTACAAACTTGGTTCCCTTCCCCCAAAGGCGCTTCTGACCAAATTTTGTCAAAATTTGTCCAATAATTCATTACTAGTACCGATTTTTCGTAAAAAGTTGACAGACACTGCACGCTTGATGGACGGAAGATGCCATGTCCTAACACTTGCACCTTAGCTAATTCCAGAAAACAGTGAAACTTCTGTCTGACACCTGAAACTGACCCTGATCCAACAACTGTGCCTAAGTACTTGGCTACTATTTCTACTGAATCTTCTGTTTTGTTAAGGATTACCGGTAATATTCATCTATTTCGATCAATGGATTAATATGACTACACATACATATGTTAACCATCATGTCATTGAGTTTATCACATACAGTATACTTTGACCTTACAGAACTAAACTTTAACCTGTAAGAAGTATACTTTGCTCTGATAGAAGTATACTTTGCTCTGATAGAAGTATACTTAGCTCTGATAGAAGTATACTTTGCTCTGATAGAAGTATACTTTGCTCTGATAGAAGTATACTTTGCTCTGATAGAAGTATACTTTGCTCTGATAGAAGTATACTTAGCTCTGATAGAAGTATACTTTGGCAACCAATACCGAAATAAAGTATAAAAATAGTACGGGAAAAAAGTAATGACGAAGTAGATAAAGAGTATACTATTTACGGCTCAATTTCGAACCGAATGTTCAACACTGTTTCAAATGAAGTCAAAAAAAGTACACTGGTACAAAAAAAAGTCTGATTAAAGTAAACTTTTGGTACATTTGATAATTTTCACAAGTACAGACCTAGTAATTAAATAGTACAGAAATAATATCATAAAAGTACAAAAATAATACAAAGTACGAAATAAGCACATAAGGCCTGAATGAGTGTACATATTTTGTACTTGTATATACTTTTATAGTACTTTACAGGTAATTAAAAAAAGTATAAAAATAGTACAAAGCAAGGATAAGGTATGAACTAGCAAACAAGTACACAGACTCTGTGCGGGACAATTTCACTTAAGTACTAAAATAGTACTCCTTTAGTACTTTATTTGTACTTTTACAACGGTATCCAAAAAGTATGCAAAAATATCAACAAAGCACAAAACAATTTAAAGAAGTACACAAATATGTCATAAAAAGGTCTCAAAAAGCACAAAATTCTATCATTTTAAAATTTAAAACATCATTTTATTCTTACACAGAATATTGAATGAAAAATCTCTTAATTTCTTAAAAGTTAACAAAATAAAGACATTTATGTCTTTTAGATGCTTTAAAAGCTTTGTAGGAAAGGTTATATAGGTCTAAAGTAGGAAAACAGTACTACTTTGCAATGTTGTGAAATTTAGAGTTAGTTACAAAAAATGTACAGTGAAAAATGGCATAGTAAGATTAAGTACTAAAAAAAGACCATGGGAAAATCAAAAGAAGGAAAAAAAGTATATAGACAAATTTCGGAGTCCATATTTAGTACAAAAAAAAAAAAATACCAGTGACAATGGTACGAAAAAATGCATACCATGTACTATTTTTGTACTTTTCAGAAAAAAATACATTTAGGTATGTACTAAAAGTACCATAAAGTAAACTTTGGTGTACATTTTTCGGTATGGGCTGATAGAAGTAAACTTTGACCTGATAGAAGTATAATTTGACCTTATAGAAGTACAATTTGACCTTATAGAAGTATACTGTGGCCTGATAGAAGTATACTGTGGCCTGATAGAAGTATACTGTGGCCTGATAGAAGTATACTGTAGCCTGATAGAAGTATACTGTAGCCTGATAGAAGTATACTTTGGTCTGATAGAAGTATACTTTGGTCTGATAGAAGTATACTTTGGTCTGATAGAAGTATACTGTGGTCTGATAGAAGTATACTGTGGCCTGATAGAAGTATACTGTGGCCTGATAGAAGTATACTGTGGCCAGATAGAAGCATACTTTGACCTGATAGAAGTATACCCTGACTGATAACTGAAGTATACTTTGGTCAGATAAAAAAGTATATTTGGAAGACTCAGAAATATACTTTGGTCTGATAGAAGTATACTTGGCAAGAGAAGTATACTTTGGTCTATAGAAGTATTTGGCCAGATAGAAGTATACTGTGGCTGATAGAAGTATACTTTGGTTGATAGAAGTATGTTTGGTCTGATAGAAGTATACTTTGGTTTCAGATAAAGTATACTTTGGTCTGATAGAAGTATACTGTGGCCTGATAGAAGTATACTTTGGTTTGATAGAAGTATACTTTGGTCTGATAGAAGTATACTTTGGTTGATAGAAGTATATTTTTGATGATAGAAGTATACTGTGGCCTGATAGAAGTATACTTTGGTCTGATAGAAGTATACTTTGGTCTGATAGAAGTATACTTTGGTCTGATAGAAGTATACTGTGGCCTGAGAGAAGTATAGAAGAATACTGTGGCCTGATAGAAGTATACTGTGGCCAGATAGAAGTATACTGTGTGGCCTGATAGAAGTATACTTTGGTCTGATAGAAGTATACTTTGGTCTGATAGAAGTATACTTTGGTCTGATAGAAGTATACTGTGGCCTGATAGAAGTATACTTTGGTCTGATAGAAGTATACTTTGGTCTGATAGAAGTATACTTTGGTCTGATAGAAGTATACTTTTGTCTGATAGAAGTATACTGTGGCCTGAGAGAAGTATACTGTGGCCTGATATAAGTATACTGTGGCCAGATAGAAGTATACTGTGTGGCCTGATAGAAGTATACTTTGGTCTGATAGAAGTATACTTTGGTCTGATAGAAGTATACTTTGGTCTGATAGAAGTATACTTTGGTCTGATAGAAGTATACTGTGGCCTGAGAGAAGTATACTGTGGCCTGATAGAAGTATACTGTGGCCTGATAGAAGTATACTTTGATATTATAGAAGTATTCTCTGGCCTGATTTAAGTATACATTATTTGGCCTAAAAGAAGTATACCCATATTCAAGGTCACAATTATTTCTAGGAATTCGAAGGGGGCTTTCAGTCTTTCATCCTCGTCCTGTTTTGGGGATGAAAAATTGTTCTTTAGTTTTTAATCCATTACCTCTCAAAAATATCAATGAGAAGAAGGTTTGAATAGAAGATTTTATCATACAACCAGTAAAAGTTTTCAGTGTGACCGTTTCGATGACTACACTGTAACCTCCATCGCTTCAACAGATAAATGACCAGTGTAAAGTGTACCGGCACTGATGTACGTAGTGTAAAAGATGGTACGGAATCCACCAACTTTTACCGCTGTATGAAAGTCCTAAGTACACTAAGGCTGAAGATAGTGCGACGAGATGGGAAACAGTTTATAGAAACAAAGTACCGGTATACAAGATAACAAGATGGTAACAAGGTACTGTAGTCAATGCCGCCCCCTCCCCTGCCCCGCTCCCTCCTCCCCTACACTTATCCCTGTTGAGAATAGGCCTGCTGCTGCATGTGACCGTGTAGTAACTGTAACCTGTGTTATTAAGACCTTCTATTCCATGGAAATTGTCAAAATAAAGAAAATTAAAAAAAACAAACAAACAAAAACAAAAAAGTGGCTCAGGAATAGAAGGATGAACCCTGGACGACAGACAATGGATAAAAGACGACAGTTAACGGACATAGGGAAATTTTAATGGTGAACAATATGAAGATTGTGGGCAAAGAAAAAATACATTTTATATTTTTCTGTATTCAGTGTTTTTATTTCTTATTTTATCTATTGTTATATACTGAAAAACTACAAAAAATGTATTGTTACTTAAAAATTAGTAAAAAAAATATAATTAGAATCATTAAAACAAGCGATAGGCTACCTCCCAATATGCAAAATCATTTTGTATTGGAAGTTTGAAATTCTCACTTACAGCGAAGTTTGGGAATTTGTAGAGAGGTAGCTGTTCTTACTCCATCAGTCCTTTTTCTGTTAATTCCTGATATTTGGGGGAGCTGCTGCTACAAGATCAAATAATGCTACATTTAACTCCCTCCTGAAACACACAAATTGTATAACTGCTGCAGATATGTATTAGGGTCAATGATTTAGTGAACAAAGGAGACATTTCAGTAACATGGGTAACATACATACAACCAGTGTATGTATACTGTTGGTATACGATCCATGGAGATTTTTACTGATGACAAATTACTTCTAACTTCATACTCTACCTGTAGGTTTCTTGTTTGTTGAGGATCAATGGAACTCGAGAGTTGTATTGTTATAACTCCCATTTAATCTGCAGCCACCGATGTCCTCGTTTTCTATGACGGAGTCTTCGTTGTACTCGTTTTCTCTAGCGGAGTCTTCGTTTTACTCGTTTTCTCTGGCGGAGTCTCCGTTGTCCTCGTTTTCTCTGACGGAGACTTCGTTTTCCTCGTTTTCTATGACGGAGTCTCCGTTGTACTCGTTTTCTCTAGCGGAGTCTCCTTTGTACTCGTTTTCTCTGACGGAGTCTCCGTTGTACTCGTTTTCTCTAGAGGAGTCTCCGTTGTCCTCGTTTTCTCTGACAGTGACTTCGTTGTCATCGTTTTCTCTGGCGGAGTCTCCGTTGTACTCGTTTTCTCTAGAGGAGTCTCCGTTGTACTCGTTTTCTCCAGCGGAGTGTCCGTTGTCCTCGTTTTCTATTACGGAGACTTCGTTGTACTCGTTTTCTCTGACGGAGTCTCCGTTGTCCTCGTTTTCTCTGACGGAGTCTTCGTTGTCCTCGTTTTCTCTGGCGGAGTCTCCGTTGTCCTTGTTTTCCCTGGCGGAGACTTCGTTGTACTCGTTTTCTCTAGAGGAGTCTCCGTTGTCCTCGTTTTCTCTGGCGGAGTCTTCGTTGTCCTCGTTTTCTGTGGCGGAGTCTTCGTTGTCCTCGTTTTCTGTGGCGGAGTCTTCGTTGTCCTCGTTTTCTATGACGAAGACTTCGTTGTACTCGTTTTCTCTGGCGGAGTCTCCGTTGTACTCGTTTTCTCTGACGGAGTCTCCGTTGTACTCGTTTTCTGTGGCGGAGTCTCCGTTGTACTCGTTTTCTCTGACGGAGTCTCTTTTGTACTCGTTTTGTCTGACGGAGACTTCGTTGTCCTCGTTTTCTCTAGAGGAGTCTCCGTTGTCCTCGTTTTCTCTGACGGAGTCTCCGTTGTACTCGTTTTCTGTGGCGGAGTCTCCGTTGTACTCGTTTTCTCTGACGGAGTCTCCGTTGTACTCGTTTTCTGTGGCGGAGTCTCCGTTGTACTCGTTTCCTCTAGCGGAGTCTCCGTTGTACTCGTTTTCTCTGACGGAGTCTCCGTTGTACTCGTTTTCTCTGGCGGAGTCTCCGTTGTCCTCGTTTTCTCTGACGGAGTCTCCGTTGTACTCGTTTTCTCTGACGGAGTCTTCGTTGTTCTCGTTTTCTGTGGCGGAGTCTTCGTTGTCCTCGTTTTCTGTGGCAGAGTCTTCGTTGTACTCGTTTTCTCTAGCGGAGTCTCCGTTGTCCTCGTTTTCTCTGACGGAGTCTCCTTTGTACTCGTTTTCTATGAAGGAGACTTCGTTGTACTCGTTTTCCTTGACGGAGTCTCCATTGTCCTCGTTTTCTCTAGTGGAGTCTCCGTTTTACTCGTTTTCTCTGACGGAGTCTCCTTTGTACTCGTTTTCTATGACGGAGACTTCGTTGTACTCGTTTTCTCTGACGGAGTCTTCGTTGTCCTCGTTTTCTCTGACGGAGTCTCCGTTGTACTCGTTTTCTGTGGCGGAGTCTCCGTTGTACTCGTTTTCTCTGACGGAGTCTCTTTTGTACTCGTTTTCTCTGACGGAGTCTCTTTTGTACTCGTTTTGTCTGACGGAGACTTCGTTGTCCTCGTTTTCTCTAGAGGAGTCTCCGTTGTCCTCGTTTTCTCTGACGGAGTCAGTCTCCGTTGTCCTCGTTTTCTGTGGCGCAGTCTCCGTTGTACTCGTTTTCTCTAGTGGAGTCTCCTTTGTACTCGTGTTCTCAGACGGATTCTCCGTTGTACTCGTTTTCTGTGGCGGAGTCTCCGTTGTCATCGTTTTCTCTAGAGGAGTCTCCGTTGTACTCGTTTTCTCTAGAGGAGTCTCCGTTGTCCTCGTTTTCTCTGACGGAGTCTCCGTTGTACTCGTTTTCCTTGACGGAGTCTTCGTTGTCCTCGTTTTCTCTAGTGGAGTCTCCGTTTTACTCGTTTTCTCTGACGGAGTCTCCTTTGTACTCGTTTTGTCTGACGGAGTCTCCGTTGTACTCGTTTTCTCTAGAGGAGTCTTCGTTGTCCTCGTTTTCTCTGACGGAGTCTCCGTTGTACTCGTTTTCTCTAGAGGAGTCTCCGTTGTCCTCGTTTTCTCTAGTGGAGTCTCCGTTGTACTCGTTTTCTCAGACGGAGTCTCCATTGTACTCGTTTTGTGTGGCGGAGTCTCCGTTGTACTCGTTTTCTCTAGAGGAGTCTCCGTTGTCCTCGTTTTCTCTGACGGAGTCTTCGATGTCCTCGTTTTCTCAGGCGGAGTCTCCGTTGTCCTCGTTTTCTCAGACGGAGTCTCCATTGTACTCGTTTTCTCTGACGGAGTCTCCGTTGTCCTCGTTTTCTCTGACGGAGTCTCCGTTGTACTCGTTTTCTCTAGAGGAGTCTCCGTTGTCCTCGTTTTCTGTGGCAGAGTCTCCGTTGTACTCGTTTTCTCTAGAGGAGTCTCCGTTGTCCTCGTTTTCTCTAGCGGAGTCTCCGTTGTACTCGTTTTGTGTGGCGGAGTCTCCGTTGTACTCGTTTTCTCTAGCGGAGTCTCCGTTGTCCTCGTTTTCTCAGACGGAGTCTCCATTGTACTCGTTTTCTGTGGCTGAGTCTCCTTTGTACTCGTTTTCTCAGACGGAGTCTCCATTGTACTCGTTTTCTCTGACGGAGTCTCCGTTGTCCTCGTTTTCTCTGACGGAGTCTCCGTTGTACTCGTTTTCTCTAGAGGAGTCTCCGTTGTCCTCGTTTTCTGTGGCAGAGTCTCCGTTGTACTCGTTTTCTCTAGCGGAGTCTCCTTTGTACTCGTTTTCTCAGACGGAGTCTCCATTGTACTCGTTTTCTGTGGCGGAGTCTCCGTTGTACTCGTTTTCTCTAGAGGAGTCTCCGTTGTCCTCGTTTTCTCTGACGGAGTCTTCGATGTCCTCGTTTTCTCTAGAGGAGTCTCCGTTGTACTCGTTTTCTCCAGCGGAGTGTCCGTTGTCCTCGTTTTCTATGACGGAGACTTCGTTGTACTCGTTTTCTCTGACGGAGTCTTCGTTGTCCTCGTTTTCTCTGGCGGAGTCTTCGTTGTACTCGTTTTGTGTGGCGGAGTGTCCGTTGTCCTCGTTTTCTATGACGGAGACTTCGTTGTACTCGTTTTCTCTGACGGAGTCTTCGTTGTACTCGTTTTCTCTGGCGGAGTCTTCGTTGTACTCGTTTTCTCTGGCGGAGTCTTCGTTGTACTCGTTTTCTCTGGCGGAGTCTTCGTTGTACTCGTTTTCTCTAGCGGAGTCTCCGTTTTCCTCGTTTTCTCTAGCGGAGTCTCCGTTGTACTCGTTTTGTGTGGCGGAGTCTCCGTTGTACTCGTTTTCTCTAGCGGAGTCTTCGTTTTACTCGTTTTCTATGACGGAGTCTTCGTTGTCCTCGTTTTCTCTGACGGAGTCTCCTTTGTACTCGTTTTCTGTGGCGGAGTCTTCGTTGTACTCGTTTTCTCTGGCGGAGTCTTCGTTGTCCTCGTTTTCTCTGGCGGAGTTTTCGTTGTACTCGTTTTGTGTGGCGGAGTCTTCGTTGTCCTCGTTTTCTCTGGCGGAGTCTTCGTTGTACTCGTTTTGTGTGGCGGAGTCTTCGTTGTCCTCGTTTTCTCTGGCGGAGTTTTCGTTGTACTCGTTTTGTGTGGCGGAGTCTTCGTTGTCCTCGTTTTCTCTGGCGGAGTTTTCGTTGTACTCGTTTTGTGTGGCGGAGTCTTCGTTGTCCTCGTTTTCTCTGGCGGAGTCTTCGTTGTACTCGTTTTGTGTGGCGGAGTCTTCGTTGTACTCGTTTTCTCTAGCGGAGTCTCCGTTTTCCTCGTTTTCTCTAGCGGAGTCTCCGTTGTACTCGTTTTGTCTGACGGAGTCTCCGTTGTACTCGTTTTCTCTAGAGGAGTCTCCGTTGTCCTCGTTTTCTGTGGCAGAGTCTCCGTTATACTCGTTTTCTCAGACGGAGTCTCCGTTGTACTCGTTTTCTGTGGCGGAGTCTACGTTGTCCTCGTTTTCTCCAGCGGTGTCTTCGATGTACTCGTTTTCTCTAGCGGAGTCTTCGTTGACTCCTCCATAGTTTAATCGAAAAACGGAATAGGCGCCTTGACGACACACCAACATTCACGTCACTACTAGAGGAGATAACTCCAACTTTGCCTGCGCCAAGAGCTTTTAGGTTGCACGGCACTATTTACCCGGAAACCAGGGCGGAATGTTTTACGGACAATATCGCTGCTTTTATCAGCTCCTACTAGATTCACTTTAAAAGTTCATATCGTAAATACTGAGATTGTTTATGGATGTAGACTAGTAATGTCATGAGTAAAAATGCATAACCGTTAAACCTATGGCTGTGTTTGCAGGATATATATATAATTGGGTTCCGTCCATTCTGCCATCCGTTCATCCTTGCAGAGCAAACTTACTAATTTTAGCTTTACTCCAAAGTAATTCAAGATAACTGACTAAAACGTTATCCGTTTATCAGTCTATCTCTCGAGTGGTACCTTTTTCAGTAGAAGAGGTCGCCCTTTCCCCCTGTTACCATGGAAACAAAATACAAGTTTGATTGTTTCTAGAGTAGTACAACAAAATTACCATGAGCTACCTGAAACTAGCTTTGCAGATAGAGAGGTTTTCCTTTTGTATGTTTTTGTTTATGTTGGCTGTCAAAAAATAGAATTATCTAATGACCAGGCTTCCCAGTTCTATAAGTAACCCTCATACTTATGTACAGTGTATATACCATCATGGATTGTATAACAAACTATACTGATCTTGTTATCGTTTTATTTGCTAAAAACACAGAAAAGGTGTATCTTCGTCAAAATATTAGTGACAGGGGTAAAATGGATAAAATACCTGATGTTGTAATATTTACATAGATATAAGATTGTGTGTATTTCTAGCAAACAGCTGGGTGTGGGGATTATGTCACGCTTGGCGTTAGATTAAGGATATATCTGATACAAGATCTGTTTGGACCTCTTCGCTCGACTCGGGTAACATCACACAACCCGTAAACAATAAACATTTTCTGTATAACTAATTATATTGGTTTACATGGTTGATCTACTGCTTACTGACATAATTAATGCAGCCTCCTCTACGAGACACAACACATGCAGAAAAGAAACGCTTTCGTGTGTTGATGTATGACAGCTGTGAGTACAGTTTGTTTGGTATTATCTCGAATTCTTTCCCTTTGAAATTTGTCCTGAAAGTTCTGTAGAATATCTGACACTTGCCGTTCGACAAGACCCGGCTGACTCCGGTACCCTTCGTCGATATTGATATAGTTACGGAATCAGTCGGAATGGGACGAGTGGCAACCAAGACGGGATGTAAAGACACAATGCATGTCATAAAGATTAAAGTAAATACCGATTCTGTAAATTATGAAAATAAATTCTAAAATCTGTATTTTATTTTATTTATCGGTTATTTCTTCGCAAACTTACCAAAACGTGAAAGAATGAAAAAACAAGCCTCCCGCCATATTTGATAGATTAAGTATATATATATATTCCATTGACATGCGCCATCTGTTAAGTTAAATGTCACGCATGCTCTGTTCCATTTTTTTAATTTAAAGGACAGATATGATTGACGAGCAGTCTATTTGATAGCATTACTGTTAACAAGTAGTGGTTTTATATGTTGATGAAGCGGGACATCATATTTTGGACTTTTCTGCAGATGTCAAATAATTAAACCCAGACAGGCCTGTGCATATGTGCCTTGTGAGTGGCCTTTAAGCTAACCAGTCTTTCTCAGTAACGTTAAATATCCCCACATTGAACGCCTCCTAAGAAAGTGACAGGTGGGTTTGTACTTAATATTAGAAAGCGTGCAAATGAGAGCTTTAAGAAAAATGCATTTTCAATATTACACTTTAAAAGTTTTTTCGATATTTTTTTTAACAAGATTAAAATACAGCTCGATTTTCCTTGGGATTATAGGTTTATAGTTATGACTTGAAATCTTTCATTCAATGCAAAATGACATAAAAAGGGACAAATAAAGTTACATATCTGATTTACCCTAACGCTATAAAAAGACAGGTGTTGTCAGAAACAATATGCATGACCATGCGCCGAGCCATAACATGTGAGTTTAGCTCGTGGAGTCCACGCGCACTCCTATCTCCGATCAGCGCCCGATTGTAATTGCGCATACCATAAGGTCGAATCTATTTCATTAAAAAGAAATTTTCAAAAGAAATTTTACGCTTTTCTTTGATTTCATTTATGTCGGAAAGATATTTATCAGTTTTCGTTTTCTAATTTACAATGCTTATCATCGGTTATGGCACTTTCCTACCCTTAAATTTTTAGAAGAAGAAAAAATACACTTGAATGGAACGATCTGATATAAACGTCAATCATTATTCGGTGTAGCTTTAATGATACAAATTAAAGTTTATTGCCGTTGTGTCTAGAACGGTGGAAGTCGTAACATATTTATAATCTCACATGGTCTGGAGAGTACATGGTTTGTCGACACCGAAACAGATCAAGTTCTCAGAAGATTGATAAATCGCGTAGTGATACAATCTGTGTTACACTTGTATCCATTTACCGCTTCAGGTGTAGCATGACGCGATGATGAGAGAAAAAAACACTTCAAGGCTTAAAGATTAACAAATTGCACTTGTATTTTGTTTAACATTAATAATAGTAAATCGGGACATATGTTATATATGAACCATTCAACTCCCGCCAAAGTTCTTCACACCCTCTATCCCTCGTAGATTACACATACAATAAAAAAGTACGGTATCAGAGACATACATGTATCATGGACACGGCAATACAAAAACGAAATCCTTGTATTATGAAAAATATTCTAGAAACTGGCAATACATTGAATTTAAGTTACAGATATCGTCTATACAGTATTTGAACATTGAAAAGTAGGAGCAGGGGGCATTTATGACAGTGTGAATGACAGGGTTTAATTAGATCACATAGTTATCGTTCTATATATCACATTTTCTTATATACTTATATCTTGGCATTTTCATGCAGTTTAATCATAATTAATAAACATCAATTAGTCTGCCTGAATACAAAATATTTGTTTTACACACATATTCGGTTTTAATGTGGCATTTGGTGAACAGACTAAAGTTCAATGATTTCTCAATCGTTCTATAAGTTAAGAAACCATTATTGGTGTATTACCATAGATACTCGTTCACTTTGTGAACCAGCCCACCGAAATGTGTAACGTCTGGTTCAGGAGCCAGCGAAAGTTTAGGTTTCTCGTCACCAATACAAATGCAGTGATGAGTTTCATGCTAAACCATACAGAAACTCAGAGTTACCTATAGAATATTCTGTAATATTTTTTTTCAGTTATAAATGTGAATATTTATATAGGAAGCTACGGGGATTTTTATATCTATTCACATCGAACCCAGCAGGAACAAGTTTTCACAACTCTGTATGGTGGCATATCGTGATTTATGTTTCAGCTTTGTTTCTTGCCATTCCTTGTTGTTAAGATTCCAGCTTCACTCTGCTTCAGTTGTCATAGTAAATCCTATAGTCAAGTTCACGTTCCAAATATGGCGATTTCTATGACGAACAGCTCACAGTTTCAACATACACAGACTCGAATCACATGTATAAACAGCGTTTACTTGACAATTTTCAACAAGAATGTCTAATGAAAGTTGATTCTTGGTCTAAAGCATTTTATACCATTATCTGGTTGAAAGTATTAAACTACCTACATAAGCTAGTTAATTTTAATTTTCAGAAACTGATTTCTAGTTTCCATTTATCTGCACGTCATTTAGCAATCGTAGGCGATACAGGGACGTACCAAGGGAAAAAAGAAAGTATATTTATGTAATGAGAACGATAAAGAAGACGAATACCACTTTATTATTAAATGTTAGTATTATGCAGATATTCGTACCATTCTTGATATGCCATATTATTTTAATAAGCCTAGTATGTTTAAATTCATTCAGTTACTCAAAGTCGAAAATATAAAAAAAAAACTTTATAATTTAGGAAAGTATCTACAATCAGCAAGTAAACGTAGGAAAGATTTATTGTCACAATTTAATTAGTATTTTCGTGGTTTCCTCCAAAAACATTAAACCAACATCATGGATGATGGCATAGTGTGCATGATGTGTCTTTGTCCGTTTAACTGTTATTTGTTCCAATAAGTTGTATAAGTTTTGTTGTCTGTATTTCCGTGTCACATGATCTTATCCTTATTTCCGTGTCACATTATCTTATCCTTATTTCCGTGTCACATTATCTTATCCTTATTTCCGTGTCACATTATCTTATCCTTATTCCCGTGTCACATTGTCTTATCCTTATTTCCGTGTCACATTATCTAATCCTTACACGTTCTGTTGTTTGTATTTCCGTGTCACATTATCTTATCCTTATTTCCGTGTCACATTATCTTATCCTTACACGCTCTGTTGTTTGTATTTCCGTGTCACATTATCTTATCCTTATTTCCGTGTCACATTATCTTATCCTTATTCCCGTGTCATATTGTCTTATCCTTATTTCCGTGTCACATTATCTAATCCTGATTTATCATGTTTTTTTTTTATATCTGTATTATGTTTTGTCCCCATTTCGATTTTGAATTAAAACTGGACAATTCTACATTGTTGGAACTGTCTCCGTATTATATTTTTTCGCGTTATTGTTCAACATAATCGATTTTATATGCATATTCAATTTTACCAGAACCTTTTGTGCTATATATCACTCCCTAAAAGTTACATTTTAAGAGATAATATATCACTTCTAGTGATAGTATTTATGAAATATCTATTTGCAATATTGTAATGGTAAATTGTGAAAAAATATCCTGTTCACATAGTGTCACCATTCCGTTATGTATGCAAAATGACGAAATTGCTGACGTCATAGTTTAGAGTTAAAAATAGATTAAATAGTTGAAGAAGATAAAAAAAATACAAGTTTGTCTCTTACTGATGAACCACCAAAAGTATTGTTTTAATTTATTTTTCAAGAAAGAAGGCGACCGATCTACGGATATGCAATTTTATCGTCAGGATTAATTACAG